CTTAAGACTGATAGAGCAGAGAATAAATTAGGGAATCTCAGGATAGTAAGATTAAGTCCTTTAATGTGTTGCTCATGATCAGAGGCTTAATGAAAAGGTATTGGCTTCTTGATGGGCTTCTGTTGATACTGAAGTGATTTTTAAAAATGAGAAGGAGTAATTATCCTCTCTTTCCTGATGAAAGTAGAGGGAATCTGTTGACAATTGGAGAATATGACACCAAGGCCCACAGGTTGCTGCTAGTTGCCTGACAGATGTTGCCTGGGTTCTGGGTCTGAGTTCTTTGAGAGTTGCTATCTGAGGATGACATATGCTTTGCAGTTCCATCTCTCTGGTGGTTGCTGTGAAATCCAGACTGCTGATCTCAACCTGTGTTACTCAGTTCACTTGTTAGCAAGTTTAGTTAGTGCCAGAAATGCTATGAAAATAATTAGGTGCCTCACTTTACATATGCAAAAGCAATTAACTATCATTAGTGCCTGACATTCCTCCCAACTGCCCAGAGAGGTGAGTCAATGTCATCACTGTTCATTAGGAATTAATTAGACTGTGCTTGATGATGTCAGTTGTGGACAGGGTTGGGAATTCAGCACTGCCTTCCTCTCTACAACTGTGGAATGAGAGTATCAAGCTCACACTATCCACTCATCTGGAGAAGTGACTCTGAGATTTAAATTCTGTGACGTATGTGACTTTGGGTAACTTATTTAGGTCACTGGACCTTTTAAAAATAGAAATAATACCCAAGGGGGTCAGTTCAGTAGCTAAAGATCTGAAGGCAAAAGCTTTTGTCATCGTGCTTAAAATCTGGTTCACCCAAAGGACAGGGAGTGTGGATTTGAGTTATCAGGTCATACTAGAGGTAAAGCTACTTTTCCTTGTCTTTTTGGAGGGCAACATTTCTCCTAAGAGAAAAATTTGGGCTTTCAGTAAGATCACAGTGACCTACAAACCATGAAATGCATGGTGGAGTTATATACTAAGTACTTCTCCAACTCTGTGACTCATGTTTAAACCTTGCAAAGGTTCCTGCCATGTCTCCTCCTGACATCTCCTGAGCTGGTAGACATCTTTGTTCTTAGCTGTACTTCCATTTCTACTACCCTACTCACTCATATTTGCTTTACCAGTTTCTGTCCCTTTAAATTTCTTACATGGCCATTTGATTGGCTTCTGTCTGGGCTTTATTCTTTTACCATTTTCCCTCCATTTTAGCTGTTACCTCTGGCTATCACTTGTTCTCTATTAGTCAAAAAGAAAGACAATAAAGAGTTAAAATATTCTCCTTAAAATAACATTTGTTTGTAATACAAAGAAACTTAAAGGATCCAATATTGTTTCTCTTAACACAGAAGAACTATTACTTGTCAGTGATAACCATTGGATACAAAAGAAATTGGATCAGAGAGCCAACTTTTCATGATTCCAACTTAAATTTTCCAGGTCTTGCTATGTAACCCAGGCTGGTCTTGGACTCCTCTCAGCCTTCCAAGTGTTGGTATTATAGGCATGTACTATCATGTCCAACCCTAGTTGAGTCTTCACACCAACCCATACATAACCTTGCCTCCTGTACTTTGCTTTTCATTGACTGAAATGAGGGGAAGCTGACTACCATGGCTAAGAATGTAAGGGAAGACACAAGTACAAATATTACCCATACAATCTACTTGACTAGACAGGGTTTTGTGTTTTTTTTTTTGGGCAGGATTTTGTTATGAAGCTCAGATTGACCTCAGATTCTCAGTCTTGCCTGGGATTACAGGTGTATGCTGCCATGTCCAGTTAATTACATCATCTTGTTAGTGATAAGCAGGTGCTAATTGCTATACATTCAAAATTGGGTCACAATGAGTGGTAGTTAACTAGTTCCACATGTTTTTCAGATACTTAAGTGTGGCTGGTCTTCTCAGAGCTGCTAGCTAGCTGTAGGGAAAGTTTCCAGGATGAGGTGGATTTTGAGCTGAGGAATGGAATGCCAGAATAGTTATTTTGGTATCTGGTACCGGAGCTTCTTTTAGCCAGCTCCAATCTTGTGATCGGAAACTCTCTGCCCATACAGGGCTTCATCTTACAATTGGGTTGTAAAACCAAGGCCTGAGTAGGTATGTGGATTATGTATCTAGTGGTTTATGGGGCTTTGTGCTGGTCCATAGCCAGACGAGGTAATTCCACCCTGCTGAGCTCTAGTTGACTACATTGCAAGAGCATGGACACAGTATTCCTTTTTCAGTAAATGAATCAAAACATGGCAACGTTTAGAAGAGCGTTCATGCTTCCTGAGTAGTTAGATTAATTAATACTCACTAGTGTTAAATTCTCTAAAAAAAAACAACCAAGGACGTGGGACTCTTAATCTTAGAAACAACTTTAAAAAGGTTATCGATATATGTTAAGGGCTGTGGACAAATGAATCCGTTTATGAAGGGTGTGCAGGGAGATTGATGTCTGGTCTGAAAGGCCTTTAGGAGCCTGAGGATGTTTCCTGTCTTACCTAAATGGGTGTTGAGATTAGCTCTAAGGGATGAATATACCCTCAAGGGACGGATGGATAGAAGTTGACAGATGGGTAAAAGTTAAGTCAAGAAATGAATATTAATCTCAATAATGGAAGTATTTCAAAATGCATTGTGAGAGTGAGCAATACTGAGGAGGTAGTAATTCATTTTCGTTAGTGCTATTCAGGCATACACTGGCTATGAGATGTTTTAGAAGGATCTTGAAGCATTGTTGTAAGATGTTTTGGTCTGGAGGCTGTGGCTTTCAGCTGCATGGTAAAGTTTATTGAAGACAAACAAAGATCTTGTCCCTTGTGTTAGCCTTCACTATCCAAGATTCCAGTCCTTCCCTATGTAGCTTCTACTACATATCTTAAAGCATGGTTCTTTGGAACTAAAACATTCTTCTGTCTGAGCTGCTCAGGGCTCAAGGCCTGGCCCATGATTCTATATGTCTCTATTGCTTTGTTTTTGTTTCTTGGTTTACTTGAGAAGTCAGGCTAACCACTGCTGAAGAGTCCCCTCTTGTTCTGCTCAAACAGACTCAAGGGTGGTGTGCAGTTCAGCTTGAATTTTATAGGACTTCTAGATCCCAACACAAACTGTAATACTTTGAGAATTCAAAAGGCTCACACTGCAGTCATTGTAGAGTTCATCTGGGGGTCAGTCACAAAACCCTTTCTTGTGGCATAATTTATACTTTAGCATTTGGCAATTTTTGAAGTCCTATGTAAATGTACATGTGGTGGTAGGAGTAGTAAATATTTTGCTGACAAATTCTTTTATGGATCAGTAGTTAGCATTTAAAGCCAGGCAACCAAGGGTTCGTTTTCTCTTTATAAAAATCTAAATGTTGCCAAATCAAAAAACCTGTCAGGGTGAGAAGCCAAAAGCACCCATTAGTCAGACCATTGATTTTGCAATCTGAATGTGCTTCAGAGTGTTTATACCTGAGATCTGTGGAGATAGGCTGGGAAGCTCAGGGGACAGATTGGGAGGGGGCAGAAGGCTTATTGCTCTCATGTGATGGCCCTGGAATGTGGACTAGGCCACCCAAACTTGCTTTTCCTCTTGGTGCCTTTGGAATATTGAGTGTATTTGAGGGGGCGAGAAAGGTAGGAGCAGGGGCCACATAATTTACCTACTGAGGCTCTGCGCCTCTCTCGTCAATCCCCAGGAACAATTCTTTTCCCTCTTCTTGAGAGGGCTTTGAGTTAATGATCTGATGTCCTTTCCCACAAAAGAATATTGATATGTTAGTGTGAAGACAGCAGGGAGTACTGGATTAGATCATTTTCACACTAGTGTTATGCCAGTGTGACATTTGTTTAGAAAGCTTATCTTTTGTGACCATAGGTTATATGCAAAATGCAAGAAGGAAGATTTCTTTGAGTTCTATAATCTTCACTGCTACAGGAAAATAAATGAAAGACTTCACAGTTTCTTGTGGAGAACAGTTCCACAAGTGTGTCAGACATTTGTGGTAGGTGTTGAAGGAAAAATGGAATGACAGTGACTTTTGGTACCTATTTTTTAAGATTCAAGAGATTGACAGTGGCCAAGTTAGCTCAGGGTGTAGTCAGGGTAAGATCCTAAAACATAAATGCCATAGTACTGGTCAGCTTGCATTGGTGATTAAGTAGGATGAGTAATTGTGATAATAGAGTCTATCTATTCTCTTCTTCTTGGTTCCTGCTACCCTCTTGCATCTTGGTGATCTCCTGTTGGCATGGTTTGACCATTTATTTAAGATACCAGTTATAGACTGGAATTGGTGTATTCCTAGCTACTCAGGAGGCTGAGATCTGAGGATTGTAGTTTGAAGCCAGCCCAGGGAGGAAAGTCTGTGAGACTCTTATTGTTAATAAACTACTCAGAAAAAGCTGGAAGTGGCACTGTGACTCAAGTAGTAGAGCACTAGCCTTGAGAAAAAGAAGTTCAGGGACAGAGGCCGGGCCCTGTGTTCAAGCCTCAGGATCCCCCTCTCTCCCAAGATACCAGTTATTACAATAAGGTTGACATCTTTTACTCTTCCCCTTTAAAAAATATCTTTAAGTAGTATAAGGCGGTTTTAATTCACCATGTGAGTTTGAGTACAGTGTCATCCCTTTCACCATTCTCCCCCATCATTTTGTTATAAATAGCTTGTTATGCTATGGAAACTTGGCTTTCATTGATCAGTGTGCCCCCTAGTAGATAGTAGGCACTTGGTAAATGGTTTTCGGATGAATCTCTGAAGGCCTGTAACCAAGAACGTACTATCCTTGGAAGAAGAAATCTCTTTGGTGAAGATGATCCAGTCTCTGCCTACTGTCTTAATAGGAGTGTTGCATACCATATATATATGTGGAGTTCAAAAGCCGCATAGATCTCAAATTTTTTAAGAGTTATTCTGTAAGAAAAACTGGCAACTGAAACTTGCAGTAGAACTAGCAAGAGCAGCATGTTTGTGGTTACCATGTTCTTACACTATTTTGTGATTTCTCTTCAAGGTTTATTTTCTTGAAAAGACTCCAGGCTTTGGCTTGGAAAATCCAACCGCCAAAATTGAGCCCAGCAGCTGGAGCGGCAGCGAAAGCCCTGCCGAAAACATGGAAAGGATGAGTGACTCTGCAGATAAGCCGATTGACAACGATGCGGAAGGGGTCTGGAGCCCTGACATTGAGCAGAGCTTTCAGGAGGCGCTGGCTATCTACCCGCCATGTGGGAGAAGAAAAATCATCTTATCAGACGAAGGCAAAATGTATGGTAAGTGGCCTGGAACACTCCTCTGAAATCCTACAGCCTGCTGTGTGTAGTGGCAGGGAATGGATTTAGCTGGCCTTCTAGCGAGCTTTATTTATTGTGTTGTGTTGGATGATCTTTGCAGAATTATAATTCATCATCCAGGGAACTAAAGAGGAGAGTCAGTAAAAGACCACTGGGAAATCACTGCCTTGACTCTTCCAAGTTCTTCATTGCACATAGGCTCTGTCTAAAGGGAATTCTGCCACTTAGTTCCAGATAACTGGTGCTATGGAGCAATGGGGACTGTTGCCATCAGATATCTTGATTACTTCTCACTTGCGCGCACGCGCACGCGCACGCACACGCACGCACACACACACACACACACACACACACAGAGAAAATACTTCATAATCTAGATGTTTATATGAAATCTACCTTTAAAAAAAGCCATCACTTAAAAAAAAACACAAAAACCTTGTGCAGGTCAAGATAAAACACATGCTGGGCGCAGGTGGCTCACGCCCATAATCCTAGCTACTCAAGAGGCTGAGATCTGAGGATCGCTGTTCAAAGTCAGCCTAGGCAGGAAAATCTGTGAGATTCTTATCTCCAATAAACTACTAGAAAAACTGGAAGTAGCGCTGTGGCTCAAGTGGTAGAGCGCTCGCCTTGAGCTGAAGAGTGCAATGACAGCACCCAAGCCTAGAGTTCAAGTCCCATGACCGACCAAAAAAAAGAAGATAAAACACATGTGTAGGTTTCATCAGACCCCAGAATAGCCATTTGCAGCTCAGCTGTTGGTTTGCAGTTGAGTGGTTAGAAAAGACATTCCCTCCTTCCTCAAACCCCAGGGTATTCTCCCTAGTCTCCCCTTTTAAATACCGGCATCTTACAGTATGAAATGAAGGAAAGTCCAAGGTGCAGGAGGCTGAGAACAGTTCAGTAGATGGCCTAGCATCCAAAGGCAGCAGCAACAAGTGCCCACCCACTGGTCCTGATTAGCCTGAGATTGGCTAGTTTGGGCATTCTCTTTTTCTTCTGTAAATGCTTCCAGCTGAAGATGTGTACTTTTTGGCTGCTTACCTTTTGGGAAACAGATGGCAGGTGATTACTTGTACATACTGCTTGTCTTAATTGGGCACATTGAGTTGACAGAGTTTGCACTGTAGCAGACTCTAAAGAGATGCAAACAAATAACCTAAACTCAAGGAGAACTGGCTCAGCAACTGCCTGAGGTTGTTAACTTATTACAGGAGTGATTTATTTCTAAGTAATTTCAACTCTTCTCCATAATAGGGTGTTGTACTTTTAATCCTGCACTTCTCTATCAGGAGCTGTAGGAGGCTACAGCTCAAACTAGCAGAGGCTGCTGAGGGGAAAGCAGATGGTGGTGCAGCTGCCACCAGCTGTGCTCCCGCCTGCCCTCCCCTTCCAACATGGATGATGTAATGGAAACATGGACAGTTTTGCTTTCGGCAGTATTAGAGCCTCTCAGCCTGTCATACCAGGAGTGAGGAGGGAGAGAAGGGGATCCGAATCTTCAGCACTGTTTTAGAGTCTCTTGATCTTTTGTAGTCAAAGAATCACCTTTGTTATCTAGTGAAATGGAGTAAGGATGAAACACCTTGGCTGCTGTGGGTGGACAGTTTCAGGGCCTTAGGTGGTGTATGTCTGTTTCTCTCTCAGGCTTTGGGTCCTGTGCATGTTCTCAGAAGCTTGTCTTCCTACCTGAAGATGAAGCACCTGTCTTTAAAAAGCACTTTAATCTTCAAGCCTTTTTTGAAGATGACTTTATTGCATGTACTGAAGGGTGGCTTTGGGACACTATCTTGTACAGCTCCCACTTACTTATCCATAAATTGTTTTAATCTAAAATAATAGTATTATGCCAAGCGCTGGTGTCCCATGCCTGTAACCCTAGCTACTCAGAAGGCTGAGATCTGGATTGTTGAAGCCAGCTGGGGCAGAAAAGTCCCATACGACTCTTATCTCCAATTAATCACTCAAAGACTGGAAGTGGGGCTGTGGCTCAAAGTGGTAGAGAGCTAGCCTTGAATAAAAAAAAGCCTAAGGACAGTGCCCATGCCTAGTTTAAGCCCTATGACCAAGGGGAATTAGATTTACTCTAAAATATTGGCATCTAAAATAATGGTATTAGATGGTGATTAGAATAATTTTTGCACTATGTTTCTCACTAGGAATACCAACTGCCCCTTCTGGAGTGGACTGAGACATAATTAAGAGCAAACATTAATTTTTTCTATAGCTTCTCCACTAAGATTTTTCTTTTTAGATAGCCATGGTAGATTTAAACAATTTGCCTGTAAGTCAATCATAAAAGCACTTTTATGTAAAAATAATTGTGTGACAGCTCTTGTGTTGGGAGCTAGATTTTAGAGGCAGCAGGCTAGGAAACTGAACAATGAGAGGTTTTGGATTTTAGTTATTTGATGAATAGTGAACTTAAACAGTTTTACACTTGGTCCTCTTTTCAGTTTTTCTTCAACAACAATGGTGAAGAAGATGTTGTGAAAGTATTCTTGAGACATTTCCATGTTGTGGTGCGGTATATAGTTCTTGTAGTACTTTTAATTCAGTCAGATGATCATTTATTGGGAAATGTGGTGTGTGTTTAGGAACATGTCTTTAGCACCCTAGATAACAGATTCTGAGTGCTTCCTGGTTGTACATGTTTTTGTAGTATTTATTCCTTTGCCTGACTGTATTTGTGGCCAACCTGATTTAAGATGAGACAGTCCTTTTGAAGGAGAGGCAGTAGAAATTTTAGCTGCTTGTGAAGAACAGTCTTGCTGATGTAGATTTTCAGTAGGTAGTCCATACAGCCTGCAGGATTTTGGTTCCCCATTGTAGTTTAAGATGGCATTTGGGTTCTGGCCCTGCAGCTACCCCCATCTCCCTGGGGGGAAAAACATCCCATTTGCTTTCTTCTCTTTGGTTAACTTGGTAGAATTTCTACTGCTGCCTTAAAGTGAAACACGGCAGTTGGCTGGGTTCTGGGAAGTGGAGAATGACCCTCTTCAGAAGAGAATGCCGTATGTGCCTGAGAGCTGCCTCTACCCTTTTCTGGGACTCTGAGGATGAGGGAAAGTTGATCTGGGAGCTTCTTAGTGAGGTCAGCAGTGTGGGGGCCAAAGCTACTGTTCCTTGGCTTCTGGCCTGTTCTACATCATATAGACATGAATCAGAACACAAACCAGACCAGGAATCAGTGGTTCTAAAGATCATAAGAGCCTACTTTTTCACTAAGGGATTTGAAAATGAAAGTATTTTAAGCACTTGGGATTCTATATAGTAAAATCAAAATAATTCCATGAGTGAAATACCAAGTAGTGTTTTTGTTTTTTGTTTGGTTTTGTTTTTAATTCCTCCCCCCTCCCCTTGAGGTCATTATTCCAGTATTTCTGAGCATTTGTAGAGTGCTTTGTGATGTCACTAAACCTGAGCCATTGGTGAAGCAAGGTCAAGTGATTTACTTTAGTAATGAAATTTCCTTCCTGGTTGACAGTAGAGCAAATGCAATCTTGGGGGGAAAATGGAATGCTCTTTTATGATGATGAGATAGCTAATTTCTCTCTGTTACTTTGGTCTTTGGGGCATCTGAGACTTTATGTAGTTGGTCTATATGGATAGATTGCATTTGCCTTGGGCTCCCTAATGTGTATTAGTTGTTCTTACAAGATTATTAGATGGAAGGGTTAAGACCACCTTTAACTTTGTCCCTAAGGGCACATTAATGCTTGCTGCTGTGGGCTTTCTCTTTTCTGTCTGTCTTTCCCTTTCATTTCTTATCTTATTTTTGCATAGTTGGGTGTTTCTTTTTCTGGTAGATAGTGGGGGAGGAGATGGCAGGAGGACAAGATGAGAGAGAAGTTCTTAGTCAACAAGCTTCTCTGAAATTGGATTTTAGGGGAGTAGGACATAGTTGAAAAGAAGACAAAACAAAGCAGGGAACCATGGGGATACCTGCATCTACTTCTTTCTTTAATTAAACACACCAGACTTGTAAGGTGGTTAGACACTTTCCAAATCAAATGAAGGTTCACATAGAAACTTGTTTTTATTGATTGTTGGCCCTAAGGGCAGGCACAGCCTTTTATAATTTGGAGTTTATAATTAATACAAATCCTGGTCCTGCACTTGCAGATCTCAGACTTTGGACAAGTTTCCTTACTCCTCAATATCTCAACTTCCTCAGCTGCAAAAGAGAGTTAAATAGATCCTACTTTATAGGGTCATCATAGAATTAAATGAAGTAATTGTGATATGGGACATCCTTCCAACTTCAAATTTGAACAGCAGCTGGCATACAGTGAGGGCGACATAAGTATTTATGAGCTGAAAACAAAGAAGTATTCTTTGTCTTGTACTATGCTAAAGGTTTTACATATAATTTCCAACTAATGCTCCGAACAGTGCTCTGAGGTGGTGATCCCCACTTATGGATGGGGAGGCTGACAGGGTAACATGGCTTCTTGTAGTTGGGCATTGAAGATGGTGCAACTAGAAAGTTCTAAATCTAGGTCTCACTAGTCTGGGGTCTTCCCACTGGATTTTTTGTTCTTTCTTTGATACAGGCCATTGGGCATCATTTTGACAAATCATCATTGAGCACCAGCTGTATTCCAGTTCATTGCTTAGGATTCGTCAGGGATACTATGAACCAGACTGACACAGTCCCTGCCCTCATGGAGCTGTTACAAGTTCATTTGCAAGAAACTGACCTGAGGTCAGGGCTATGTGCCAAAGATTTCTGGGAAGGCTGAGGCTCTTTGAAGATGATCACCTTCCACTTAGTCTTTTGAAGCCTGTTCTTGGCTATCAAAGTCCAGGACACCTGGCCTGAGGCTGGAAGGAAGAGAACATCTCAAATAACATGGCAGAGAGGATGCAGATCACAAGGCTGGCCCCAGTGGTAGCCAGGAAGATACTTGGAAGGGTCTAGTGCCTTAGGACCCTATGAGCAAAATAGGCCCAGGAATTGCTAGACAATTATAGTG